CAATACAATATTTAATTATAACCTTTGTTTATACACGACAAAATTCGCGTTCACCACAACACAATAAATACAATAATCCATAGTAAAATTGCAAGTTCCCAGTTACAAAATTTTGTAAAAAACAAGTTATTTGCAAGTGACTAAGGTTACTTATGTACACTAAAATTCAAATTTTAACAAATGAAGTATGAAATCTCCTAACTTTGCCTTATGCTATCCGATCTGTATGCGCTAACCAAGGCATGAATAGCTTTTTTTTCTTTTTTGCATGCCAGTTGCTAAATGCAGATTTTTTGGCTGCAAACATGACCAATTTCGACAGAGACTAGCCCTTTGAGTATCGCCATGCAATCTTCAGTCAAGCAACAAAAGAGTATGGCACGCATAGGGGAAACTTGGGGTGATACAGCTTGTTCTCAAATGCATGATTATTGTATTCAGTGTCTGTTCTTTCTATTTTGCAGGATCTTTTTATTGAAATTCAAGCTCTCTGTATCGAGTTTAGACGCGTAAAGAGAATCGGCTGAAGACACATGACCGTGGAAAGCCATGCCCTGCTCCCACCAAGTAAATTTCCATGCGAGACACTTTCCTCTCTGTCTCCCTCCAGTCTCCTCGTGAAACAAGAGAGGCTTTTGCGGAGGAGAGAGAAAGAGGAATTATTATAGTGATCATTAAAGCAATATAATCTTAGCTTCTACGGTTTGTAGTGGTCATGGTGCCGCTTCCGTTAAGGTCCTTTTCCTTACAATTTTGACGTGTGTGAATTTGCTTACTAAAAGTTACCGCAGGCAAAGACGGACGGACACCTGCAGTTGGCCCCTTCTATTTCGGCTTTACAGTCATTTTCCTTTCTCTCTCTCCACAAAGCAGGCATCTTTCAATCACAAGCACTAAGTTCCCGTCCCAAACGTGTCCATCTTAGAGTGATTACATTGGTCACTTTTAGCTGTAGTCCTTCCATACGGCGTAAAAAGTTCTTAATATTACTGATAATGAAAGCGCTTTTTTTTCTTGTTCCATTGTTTCGTACATTGTTTACCAGTGTGTCACAAGTTTAGCATAGAGAGGTTTCTCTTCCATTTTGTATGTAACAGAGATCTGTTTCCTTTCGTCTCGTACGGTGTACATTACAGTCAGCTTTAATACTAACGGTTCCTACAAACAATAAATAAATAAAGTTTACTTCAATTTACTGATCTATAAGTTTTTCTAATACAACTGGCATTCTGCAAAAAAAAAACTGTGGTTTATTGGTGTTGAAGTAGAGCAAGAGACGAGTGCACCCCCTCCTAAAAAAAATCCTGGATCCGCCCCTGAGTTTCGTTACACGTATTTGGCAGATTTAGCAAAGACGGCTTTGTCGACGGCGCACGCAGATCTGAAACTGATTGACCAATGGGATAACGGAAATTGAGCAACAGGAGTCATGTTCAGTCCTTTCCACGCGCTTTCGCGTTCTCATTTAACGTCACGATATCTGTGCTAAATCTGCCTAATTACTTGGCCGGGACGCCGTTTCAGGCTCGGAAGGTCTTTTCAGGTAGGCAATTTTTACATTTAAGACCCAAGATTTGTGATATTATTTTGCAGCTGGTCAGTTACCTGGTGCAAAAACGACAGGCCGGAGATCAAGGAACGCACTGGGACTAAACAAACACAGGCACAGACACAGACTTATCACCATTATAAATGCTGTTATCTCTCTGTTTGTCTTGTCCCACGTGACTGACCAGCTGCAAAGGGCTCACTTGGTCAACCTCGTTCTCATGGCTTTGTCGAAAAAGCCCTGGGAACGAGGTGCCCATTTGGCTCGTCTCGTTTGCGTTTTCCCTTCGGCCTAGTTACTAGGCCTCTTGATCTAGCGCGGACAACATTGTCCGAGCAAAGACGTCGGTGAAATGCATGCCTGTAAACTACTTGAAAAAAGCCAAAATAAAACTAGTAAGTAAATGAAGACTAGTGTCTCTCTTTTACCGTGAGCCTTTGAAGATCTTTGACCTTTAATGTTGCCTCGAATGGTCTACATTTTTTCCCCACGATGGAATTTCGCTCCACCCTGCACCCGCTGACAACCTATCGAGCATAATGTGACACATGTTAGTTAAAGGTTACCACAGTTTACTACAGGCACATTGAGGTCGATTTAATACTTACACGACACATGTCAAACGTAACTGAACAGTCCTTTTCGGCGTCTCCCAGTGCTCGAGCGTTCACTATGAGGACGTTAGAAACTTCAGCGTTAAAGTTTAGTACAACCTTGACTCTGTTGTTGTCATCTTGAAACACCATCACTGGCTCGGTGGGAATTTCTACCAAAAAAATGAAATGAAAAAGTGAAAACGGCGAATCCCTCTATGACACCAAAATGAGAGTAAATTATGAAACACTCCCCCGATGTATCTTACTTCCGTTATGACAAACAATGGCTCAGCCTGTTGGCACCTTGCTCTAATTATGATGATTCCACTGTACCGTGAAAATGTCACGTGCCGAATGCTTACAAATGGAGTGGTTATTTTTCCTGAGCCGTTACCCGGGTAGACTGCAATAAGTCCCTTTTCAGTCAGTGAGTCAGTCGAGTCCAGGCTTGGCAGGACTGGAGCGAGCAAATGAGCCTAGAAAGGAACTGGAGAGAGGCAGCTCTCTTTGCCTCGTCCGCACGCGCTCTCCCGCGCGACGATTCTGCCTGAGGGAGTGCTAGCAGTGTTTTGTACGGTTATTTGGCTTAAATTGATCATAGCCAAGAAGCAATTTCTCATTTAAGAGGCAATCTCATCGAATAATTCATTCGCCTGTCAGCAAGCCAGTCAGTCATTCGCTGACTCAGTCGCTCCACTCACTATTTTCCTCGCTTGCACGCTAGCCAGTGAATAGTCTCTCTAAAGGGAGAGGGGAAGGCGATAAAACGCCACACGCTCGCCGGGGAACCTAATCACGGGCTACTTTCTTTTTCGCCCACTCACTAAACTTATGCATTCATTAGCCTCGTTACCGTGAGCAGACTGCCATTGGTTAGTTGCAGCTACTGTAGCGGGATTCATGAAACTGCTGTCCACTGGACACCATAGGCTCATAGGTTTCACCAATGTTGTTATTCTGTTGACAATCTGCTTCTGATGTGTAGATGGATCCACTAGATTCTCCTCGTCTATACCTTAAAGATATCAAGGACAGAAAACTTTAAAGAACAAGAATGTTATTCTGGTGGCACACATTCTTCAAGAGCAGGTAGCTGCTCCCTGCTTCGTAATGCGCAAAGGACCTCAGGGTTACAATTTCTCCTCCCGTCGTAGAGCTACCCTAAAATCAGCTCACACTAAACCAAAAATACCGGCTTACCTCGACTGACACCCAGTAACACTTCTTCAATAGATTTGTTTTTGTGTTCAACAGTAAGATTCTTAAGCAGGTGTTTAGCAAAGAAGCCATTTTTCTCATCTCTACTCTCATAGACATACGATTGTGAACAACTGCAAATAAATATTTCAAAAATGAGTAAATCCCACAAGGAAATGATCCAAAACTTTGAAAAAGCTCTTCGCGTCATGTGCGGTGCACTTGGCAAGGGTTGCATTTGTACCTTTTAGAATTTGTGAAAAAAGTTGTTTTATCAATTATGAAACAAAACAACTACCCTAAAAATGTCATGGATAGAAAATGAGTAACACGTGAAACCGTCATATGTATAGAAATATAACAAAACTGAATACAAGGCTGTCAATACGGCAAAGGGCTGATTTATTTGGGGCCAATATTTTGGCTAACAAAAATAAGCCTTCCTCAGGGCCAGAGCTACACTGAAAGAAAACACTATAACGGCTAAAAAAATTTGAATTTAAATTTAGAAAAGAGGTTGCTGATAAACTAAAAATGACAACAATAGATAGAATGATATATAGGTGAATAAATATGCAATAAAGTCCTTTCGGTTTCATAGGCATAGGAGAAATGTAGGGTGCACATCAGTAGCGGACCTTCAGATAAACGGGCAGGGGTCTCAAAAAAAAAAATTTTTTTCGGCCCTTCGGGCTTCAGTTTGGTCTTGAAATAAGGGGGGAACCGTTCCCTTCCCCCGGCCCTCCCCTGGATCCGCCACTGCGAATAAGGACGGGCCGTAAAGAGGAAGCCCTCGCACGCTCCGTTTACCTCGCGCCCAAGACTTCTTACGCCCCAACACACAGGCTACATTCAAAGGCTAAAAAAAGGCGGGAAACAGTATTGACTATGTGCAAAGGCCCACGTTGTGAGACACACGCATACCAAACTGAACCTCTTCCGCCATCATTAATTATTCCCCTCGGGGGATAATTTATTAAATTCTTGTGACCCTTCTGATTGATTGGGGTGTGTGATTTACCCGAGAAAAATAAAAAATACCTTTAATCATTAACATCAATATTTTTGGCTTCAATAATGTTTGACACTGAAATACTTACCATCCAAACGTCAGAACAACATTTGGTTTTTTTATAGCTTGTAAATCACCTCCTTGAAGCAATAGTCTGTTATTAGGCCCATTGTCAGGTCTGAAGCAAAAAGTGAGATAACTCCACTTATTATTTCGTTCGTTTTAGGTTTTTCCAAAAGAGCGATTTTCGTCGACCTTCAAAATGGCGTGTTTACCATTAAGCAAAAAAATCCTGAATACTTTAGACGCCAGGTTAATGGTAAGATCTTTTTTCAGAAATTCCAGCCAAAAATTGAGGACTATGTTTTGAGGTATTCCTTCTCTCATTAGCGTTGGAAAAAAACGAACGCAATTGCGCTTACCATTGCCTTTTTCTCGGTTCAAGTCTCGCGCTATATATATTCGCGCCTTCTATAGATAAGTAATGCCAAAATCAAGACCCATCTTAAGGAGGGGGGGAGGGGACACCCATTTAGGTTTTTGAACAGTAACATCCACCCCACACCCCGTGATGTAACCCTGTCATAATTACCGTCAGGAGCAGTAAATGATCTAATTGACTCCCCCCCTCAAATTAACGCCCCTTGTCTAATAACCTAATATACGCCTCCCTTGCGTTGTTCAGTTTTTATTAGACGTCCCTCTCTAATAATCTCTCCCTGTCTAATAGGCGCCCCTTTTCCCATGAAAATTACTATAAAATACTAGGAAATAGTAAAAAGGAATAAAATTATTCAATTTCTCCAGTTCCTTTCGTGATTAACAAGCGTGGGCACATTGCATCTTGTTCAATGTTAAGTTCAAAGTAAGGATAGGGTAACGATGACAACACAGTGACTATGAACGAGGATTCTGGCATCCGATCTGATTTGACGGATAGCGATGTGGATCTCTAGACGGCCTAGATGTATTAATAAGTGGACTGGATATTCTGCTATTTGTGAACTCTCTTGGTATTTTCGCTGAAAGTATACTAGTTTTGTTGAGCTTGTCACAGTCATGAGAATAAACGTCTCTCTCTTTTAAACGCCTCCTATCTATTTAACGCCCCCTCTTGCACCCCTAAATTTAAAATAAACGCCCGCGTTTATTAGATCATTAACTGTATGTGATAGCTTATCACAGCAAAGTTTTATAAGGGAAGGCTCTACCCCAAGGTCTGACCCCAGCTGACCCCTTACCCTTTTATATACCATTTTTGCCAAAAAAAACGTACCCCTTTCACATATCTAGTTTAAACTTTGCTTTCCTTTTAATTACTGTAAACGCACTGTCTTTAAAATATGAATATATCATAAACTGCTACATTTTCTTGACTTTCACAGCCATAAAATAAATCTGTTAGCCCTTTTGGACCTTTTTACCGACCAAAATGACAGGTTTCCCTACAATATCATTTCAAATAAATGGTACGTGGTAGGTGGTTCTTATCAAATATAAACTTGTGATTACTGTTTAGAAATAACCCTGAAATAATATTTCAGCAGAATCTGTAAAATATTGCTATGATTTCTCTCTGATTTCCTTGTCCCGCCATTTGCATTTTGTCAGTTTTACACACGCATGCGTTTATCAGTCGCAGAAATCCTAGCGCAAAAGATTCAAATCTTTTAATTATCATGAAATACCCTCTTTAATAAATACATTAATTGCACATGTTGTGTAATGCAAATTACCCCTGTCGGGTGGAGCTTCCCCATATAGGCCATTATAGGGAGTACCCCCCATGCATTACTTCAATTTTGGCTTGCTGCTATTCATCACTTACTCAGTTCTGCAGCAGTCCAATAATACAACATGTAACTTCGCATTGGTTTCTTGCATAGCAACTAATACTTCTGAGGAGGCCATGTTTTCATTGCTTAGATAAGAATCTGTTGCATCTACTGGCATCAGGTAGCTTAGTCCCCCACGCTCAAATCCATGACCAGCAAAGTAGAACAAGGCAAAGGTATCCTCAACCAGAAGCCGGCAAAACTGTCGAAGTGCTTCTCTCATTTCCTTCAGTGTCAGGTTAACCAAAGTGAGTACCTACAAAATAGATATCTTCATTCTTTAAAATGCTTCTCTCACAAAGCATTTCTGAAAGACTGGTTAGCCATATCTATCATCTAAGTACCGAGAAGAAGAGACAACAAAAATATTATTTCAAACAAGCCTATGGCTGCCTTTCAAAACCTGAAAATATTAAGAATCCTTTATACTACCTCTCTTCTTAGTATTACGATCATTATCATGATCTCCACAAATTTATTTTATAATTTGTCTCTGAACTTTCCTAGGCCATACTGCTGATACTGTTAAGGCCAACCGTGAGTGTCTATCAATAAATTATTGGTGTGGTCAGTTTGTGTTGCAGAATGACAGGGACCACCTCGAGAAATCAATTTCATAGAGGTGTGCATTAAGAGATGGTTGACTTATTATGAATTAAGGTACTTACCTTGAAGCCATTCATGTTTAAAAGACTTCCCATTAATCCACATACATCATTTATAGGGTGGTAGAGCTGCCCAAGCTTATCACCATGCTGGTAATCCATATTACCAATCAACAGAGCCACTTTATTTGCAACTGTAAAGAGATGGAAAACAAGCAAAAATCACATTTTCACTATGATTATAAATCTTTCATTTGTTTATAGCAGAACATGCTTTTTCATAACTTCCAATCTACAGTTGTGCAGGTGCCTTTTTAGGAGTAATTAAAACCTGGTAAAATAAAAATTTATATAAGAATATTAAATCCTCTCTGTCTGTAGTTACCTCGCTCATGGAAACCCCTAGGAACAACTGAAAAATAATTAAAATGAATACATGTAAGTTAGTGCTCTTACATTACCATAATTATAAATAAATAAATAAATAAATAAATAAATAAAATAATAATGATGATGATGATGATGATTATGATGATGATGATGATGATATAAAAGTCTAAACATTTCACTAATCCCAGACAGTCAATTAATCCAAATTTAGTTAATGGAGACATGAACTTGTGAGTTTATTTCTAGACTTGGAGGATAACTTGTTTCAGTTAATGCACTCTCACTTACTTTATTGTATTAATGGCATTATGCTGTA